AGTGCTTGCCTAGCATGCACAAGGCCCTGAGTTCAATCCCCAGTACTATAAATAAATATAAATAAATAAATAAATTGGGGCCAGGGAGATAGCTCAGCAGTCTAAGTGCCTGCCTGGCAAGAGCAAGGACCCAAGTTCAATATCCTGTACCGCATGCCATGCTAGCCCCATGCTGAGCCTGCCACCAAAACTGGGCATGGTGGTGTATGCCTGTAATCCCAGCACTGGGGAGGCTGAGACAGGAGGATCATTACAAGTCTGAACCCTGTACCAAATCAATACATAATTAATTAAAAGTAATAAATAAAATCCCTGTCCAAAAAAATAAATAACACTGGGTGTGTTGGCACATGTCTGTAATCACAGCACTCAGGAAGCTAAGGCAGGAGATTCACCATGAGTTCAAAGCCAACATAGGATACATAGTGAGTTTAAGGGCAGCCTGAACTATATACTGAGACTCTGTTTCCAAAATAAAGTCCCTGGTGTGGGCCAATTACCTAAAAGGTGACAATAGCAGCCCAAAGAGGGACAAGGATTTGCCTGAAGGGGCATTATACCCTCTCCTTCATGCTCAGTCATTCCTGCATTCATTGATTCACCAGGCACCCAGTCCGTGTCCAGCAGTACACTGGGGACCCCAAATGGACACTGCTATGGAAGCCAACTTGGGCGCTGCTGGCCTCGGGCCCCGCACAGAGCTGGATGATGAGGACTACTACCCCCAGGGTGGCTGGGACACAGTGTTCCTTGTGGCCCTGCTGCTCCTGGGGCTGCCAGCTAATGGACTGATGGCATGGCTGGCTGGTTCACAGGCCCGGCATGGGGCGGGCACGAGGCTGGCCCTGCTTTTGCTTAGCCTGGCCCTCTCCGACTTTTTGTTCCTGGCAGCAGCATCCTTTCAGATCTTGGAGATCCAGCATGGAGGGCACTGGCCACTGGGGACAGCTGCCTGTCGCTTCTACTACTTCCTGTGGGGTGTGTCCTACTCCTCCAGCCTCTTCCTGCTGGCAGCCCTCAGCCTGGACCGTTGCTTGCTGGCACTGTGTCCACACTGGTACCCTGGGCACCGCCCAGCTCGCCTACCCCTCTGGGTCTGTGCTGGGGTCTGGGTGCTAGCCACACTCTTCAGTGTGCCCTGGCTGGTTTTCCCTGAGGCCACCATATGGTGGTATGACCTGGTCATTTGCCTGGACTTCTGGGACAGTGAAGAGCTGCCACTGCGGATGCTTGAGATCCTGGGGGGCTTCCTGCCATTTCTCTTGTTGTTTGTCTGCCATGTGCTCACCCAGGCTGCAGCCTGCCGGACCTGCCAGACCTGCCGCCACCACCAGCCTCAACCCTCGGCCTGCCATGGCTTTGCCCGTGTGGCTAAGACCATTTTGTCAGCCTATGTGGTCCTGCGACTGCCTTACCAATTGGCACAGCTGCTCTACCTGGCTTTCCTATGGGACATCTATCCCGGCTACCTGCTCTGGGAGGCCCTGGTCTACTCTGACTACCTGATCCTACTCAATAGCTGCCTGAGCCCCTTCCTCTGCCTCATGGCCAGCACTAACCTTCGAGCCCTACTGCGCACCATGCTTTCCTCCTTTGCTGCCGCCCTCTGTGAGGAGCAGCCAGGCAGTTTCACACCAGCTGAGCCACAGACACAGGTGGCCTCTCAGAGCCCAACTCTAACAGCAGAGGCCCACCCTCAAGTGAACCCCACAGCCCAGCCACCACTGAACCCCATGGCCCAGCCTCAGGTGAACCCCACAGCCCAGATATCATTGGACGCCATAGCCCAGCCTCAGGTGAACCCCACAGCCCAGATACCACTGGACCCTATCACCCAGCCTCAAGTAAACCCCACAGCCCAGCCAGTACTGGACTCGATAGACCAGCCTCAGTTGAACCCCACAGTCCAGCCAGAGTTGGATGATATGGTCCAGCCACAGTCCCCTGGCCCTGCTACCAGGACCTCCAGGTCCTGTGAGGAAGCTTCTTTTAGCCCATCTCTAGATCCTTCACCTGAGCCCCCTGAGAGCCCAGCCATACCAGTGGTCCCCGAGGGAGAAAGCCCCAGCAGTGCCTCACAAACAGAGGTCCCCAGTGTAGGCCCCACATGAGGATTCAGGAAGCCCAGGCCTGCCGGAGCAGCTGAAAAGTCATAAGGAGTAAAGGAACTCACCAGTCAAGAGAGGTGGGAGTTACAGATACCACCACTGCTGAAAGCCCAACCAAGTCCTCCAGACTGGAGGACCTACATGGGGGAAGTGAAGTTAAGCAGCCAGAAGTCCCAGACAGTTTGTGTCAGCATCTGCTGCCCCGCTTCCACCATACCCTCCGTGGTGGCTCCAAACACACAGTCACTCAATAGCCTCCTGAGCCACCATTGATGGTGTCCTGCTGAGTTCTGTCCTCCAGTACCATAGATGCCATCTTCTCTGCTTCAGCCCTGCTGGAAGAAAATAGGTCAGGCTGGATACAGGGACAACAAAAAGAAAAGTCTCTACAGAGAAAGGAGGCCACCAGGAGCCTGCAGCCCCAAGCAGAAGCCGGAGGCCACCACAACCCACAAGCTGGCCTGACATGGCCAAGCCCTCTCTACCAGTGCCTTCCTCTCAGCAAGGTGGCTGGAGAAGAGACAAGAGTGACCAAACCTGGATTCAAATCCAATTCTGTGACACCCTGGCTGGGTGACCCAGGACAAACTCTTCTTTTGTAAGCTATTCTGAGGATTAAATGAGGGGGCATGTGAGGTGCCCCACAGGAGCCATGGAGCAGGGGAGCAATGAGATGTCAGGGGTATACAGGGTTGGCCCTTTGGGTGGATGGGTGGGGGCAGGTGGGAGAGCCACCACATGGCCAGAGCTTCTGGGACTGGTCTGGGTTGCAGATACCCAGGTGGCCTGAGAGAGTATGGCGCTACCTCTTCATCTTGTAAGGGAAGGAGGGGTCAAAGAGGTAAGAGACGTCAAAGTCTGATTCCACTCAAGGGTTTGACGGGTACCTGCCTCCAAACCTCCTAGGGAGGGCTGCACAGAGTCTCAGGAGGAGCTACAGGTGTACACTGTGCTGGCCCCGACCTCCCCGCATCTAAGCTTAAGAACACAGTTAGGAATCATCTGAATGCAGAGTACTCTGGGCACCAGGGGCCCCATGAAGGGCAAAGGTTCCCAGAGGTCACCAAGCTTCTCTCAGGCAGAATCAGTCCCTTGGCGGATGCAGATACTGTGGGGGGGCAGGGGAGGGGAAAGAGGAAGTGCTGCCTCCCTGTTCTCCATTCCCTACCCTTAAGGTCAAAGACCATGGCCCCTCCCTGTTCTCCTTCTACCCCGGTAGACCTTTCCCACTGGTTTAGTTTTTAGGACTTGCAGCTGTGAGGTACCCGCATGAGCAGGTGTAAATGACAAGGGTATTTTATATGCTTCCTTCCCAAGGCTGTTTTATTGTAAAAAGGTGGCAGGTGATTCAGGCAGCTGGGTGTGGTACAGTCAGATGTAGGTTCAGGTCCTAGCTCTTAAGCTGTTTGCTTCTGTCAATTCAGTACAACGTTTCCCTTGTTGGGTAGCAGGTGGTGGTTATTACTAAAGCCAGGCATAAGAAGTGCATGGATTATAGGCACTGAGATGGGTGGGAGAGGGATTTCTGGACAGATGTGAGTTGTTTGAATCTACTCATTTAACAAATATTTGCTGAGCACATGCTAGACCTGATGCATCTCTGGCTGGCCTTCTCCTTTGGAGATATACAGGCAGCGTTCAGGTTGTGATCTCTGGTGCCTGGAAGGGGTTGTTTGAATCTTGATTTCACTATTTACTGTGTGTAAACTTCAGCAAAACCCTTGGCTTCTTTGGGACTCAGTTGCCAATCTGTAAAATAGGGATCATACCTGATTGATCTCTAAGAAGCGTTTGGATCTTTACTGACTACACAGGAAGTGCTCAGTAACTGTTAGCCCTTAATTTTTTATTGTACCAGTGGGCACCCCCTGGCTCAGGCCAGGCATGAGACCAATACAGGTCGGAACCCACCTGGCAGGTAGACTGCTTGCCAGGTTTCATTCCCCCCTCACATGACCTCCTGCTCCTTCACCTTTCTCTATCTTATTTGTTGGGGTACATACTCCCTGGGGATAAGATTTGGACTTCTGTCCCCCTTCTACTGGCAGGGGTCCCAAAGCTTTTCAACATGGAGAGCAGATCAGCGAATAATACATCAGCACCAGCCACTTGCCACGAGGAATGAGCCAGTCCTACCTCCAAGGTCTCAAAGGAGAATCCCACACATAGTGGATAATTTAAACTTAGGAAAAAGAGAGGGCCCTGAAGTGACTTGTGGGATAAAGCTTTTCTAGGGTCCCACAGAGGAGGTTTATGTTGAAGAAACAGGGAATGAAGACCCCACAGCCTCCCCACATCATCCAAACACAGGGGTTGGGCTCCTGTTGCTTTCTGGGAGATTCTTTTCCATCATCTCTGGGTAAGAAATCCTTCCCTCTCTTCTAGAGGGGCCAGATATTGATTTTGAGAGTTGAGAACATGAAGATTTTTAATTCTACACTCAGGGATGTTGTTCACTCATTTGCTCAACCTGCACTACGGGATCACATGCTGAGTACCAGGTCCCTTTCTGGGAGCTGGGTGTAGAGTGGGGGGGGGGCAAAATCCTTGCCCTCAATTTGTTGACATCCTAGCAGGGAGAAGCATCTGGTGATCCAGCAGTGGCTAAGAACAATGCAGTGGGAACAAGGAAGGGCCAGAAAGTGACTGGGTGAGAGGGGTGTCAAGGAGAGCCCCAAGGGAGGTGACAGGTGAAGAGACCTGGAGTAAGTTGAGGGATGGAATTTTTCCAGGAGGAAATCTTCCAGCCACAGGTAGGGAACAAGATGCCCTGTCCTGGGGAAGGGGGTGTTCAGGAATGAGAGGTTAGTATTACTGGGCCATAGGCAGGGGGGTGTGAGGGGTGGTAGGTAGAGGTCAGACAAGTAGGTTGAGTGGAGAGATCAGCAGGCTGTGGGTTCTATCTCAATCAGACCAGTGACAGGTTGGAAAGGGTTCAGGGAAACAGGGCCACCCAGGCTAGTGTGGGCTTTAAACAGACCCTCACCTGTCACCTGGGATCTGGCCGCATCTGGTCCCCACACTCCTGCCTCGCCAGCCTAGGGTTTATGGAGCACTGGGAAATGCAAGGATTTTGAAACTAGAGACTGAGCAGGGCTGTGTGTCCTCAGGCAAACACCTGCCCTCTCTGAGTCTGTTTCCTTCAGGGTGGGAGGAGAATGAGATGAGACACCCCAGTCCATCCTCCAACACACAGCCCGAACTTCTTTTCTGGGCCCCTCTTTGTCAATTCCTTTTTTTTTTTTTTTCTGGGAAAGGGACCCTGCCATCACCTCTTGGTTACCAGGGTAGTCGATGTACAAGGCAGATAGGAGGAAGCCAGTGTCCAGAGCCACCAACTTAAAAGAAAAGTGAGTCCTACAAGGACAACGAAGGCTCCACGGTGAAATAGGATGGAGCAGATCTGGGGAGACCTGTCTGGGCTCCTTGTCAGAGAATGAAGAGGATTATGGTCTGACCTTCAGGCTCCTCGTAGATTGTCCAGAGTAAAGGAAGGTACGAGGGATCTGTGGCCCTAAAAACCCTGGTAGGACCCATGGGTGTTTGTCAGGAAGAATGGGACCGCTGGGCCTTTCCCTCTCTCCTTGTAACACTGACTTACTTACACCCTTAGCCAAGAGCTTTAACTCTGATAAAAACTGTCCTTGCCGACGCAACCTGGAGGCGGGGCAGGAACCGTCACCGGTGCCTTACAGGTGTGCAGTCGGGTTGGGGACTGGCAGGGTTGGCTTCACCCTAACCTGGCAACTCCTGCGCATGCCCCAGTCTGCCAACATTGCCCCTAGCTGCAACTGCTGCAGAGGCACTTTTCATTTCTTGGAGCAGGGTAGCGCCAGCCCCAGCCTATTCGAGGTGGGGCTCCTATTGGCCACGCCCCAACCCCAACGGACTCCGCCCACCTCATTCAGCAGTCCTACCTCCCCGTCCCACCCCTGTGCGCGTGACTCGGCCCCGCCTCTCAAGCCCTTGCCCACCTCCCTCCTCCGCCCTCGCTTCTCTGTCACTTCCTGATTCCCGCTTCCTGCTTCCCAGAGATCGGGATTCCAAGCTGCCGGAGGCCACCGCCGCAGCCCCTGGCACCCCCGGTGAGCGGGATACTGGGCGGGAGCCAGCTGGGAGCGCGGGCGAGGGCGGGGTCCCAGGAGGGGGTCCGCAAGTCCAAAGAGCACTTTCTCTCTTTTGCGCCCCACCCTCAGTCCGAGCTCCCTCTAGCCGTCCAGCCTCGCCTCCTGGGCCAGGGTCCCAGGAAGTTGGTTCCCTGATTCATCTTGCACCACGCTCTGAGGCCACTCTGGGATGCTCTGGCAGCGGCGTCTCGACCCCCACAGCGTCCTGCCAAAGCCCCTGAGCCGGGTTTCCTGCAGCTTTCCTGGGACTCAGAACTGTGGCCTAGAGCGCCCTACAACCGGGAGACCTATTCTGCCTCCGTTGCTCCCTGCCCTTCATCCCGCTTCCACATAACTGGGCAGGAAAGGCAGCGCCGAAACGCCCAGGACTTAAGGAGCTATACATTCTCTGCCCCCTTCCCCCTCCCGCAGAGATGGGGTAGGGGTCCAAAGAAAGTCCCACAAAGCCACTCAGGACTCAGCGTGGCAAGCGCTAGTTTAACCCTTCAGATCTCCGCTGGTGGGAGGTAGCCTTGATCTGCACCTGTGACCCTGTTCTGTGACTGTGGAAGCTGAGACCCAGGCTGGTTATAATAACCAGTCCCTCCTCACGTCCCATCATGCAGCCCTGGGAGAGCTCGGGTCGCTGAGACAGCAAGGTGAACCCCACCTCTCTACCCTGCAGACATGTCCTTCCGAAAAGTAGTGCGGCAGAGCAAATTCCGTCATGTGTTTGGGCAGCCAGTCAAGAATGACCAGTGCTATGAGGACATTCGAGTGTCCCGTGTTACCTGGGACAGCACCTTCTGCGCAGTGAACCCCAGATTCCTGGCTGTGATTGTAGAGGCCAGCGGTGGGGGTGCCTTCCTGGTGCTCCCTCTAAACAAGGTGGGCTGGGAGAGGGAAAGGAGCGAAGGCTGCAAGTATCTGCTACACCTCTGGCCCTTCAGTATACCTGTCTTGTTTGCCCCCTCCCTGCCTGGCAGGTATTATGATCCATATTTACTGCCCAGGAGGTTTGAGCGAAGGTGGCAAAAGTGTTTATTGCCACTGAGTCAGAGACAGGCTGCAGACATTCCCTACTTACCTGAGAGGGTGGGGTTGGGCACTGTCGCATATGGACTAGGAGTGAGCCAGGCTATACACATCGTTCCTACTCCTGGGAGGGGACTGAGGCTTTGGGGAGATGAAGCACAGGCGTTCTGACTATGCCCCCACACCTACAGACAGGCCGCATTGACAAGGCCTATCCTACAGTGTGTGGGCACACAGGACCTGTCCTAGACATTGACTGGTGTCCCCACAATGATGAAGTCATTGCCAGCGGCTCAGAAGACTGCACAGTCATGGTAAGCATAGGGCTATTCAGGCCAGGGTCTCAGGTGTGGCCATAGGCTGCTGGTAACAGGGGCAAGCAGAGGCCTCAGCCCACCGTCCCCATCCCTCCTGCAGGTGTGGCAGATCCCAGAGAATGGTCTGGTTTCCCCACTGACAGAGCCAGTGGTGGTGCTGGAGGGGCACACCAAGCGCGTGGGTATCATCACCTGGCACCCCACCGCCCGAAACGTGCTGCTCAGTGCAGGTCTGCGCTGCTCCCTACCCACCTTGCCCCTCAGTCTCCCTTGCATATGTGGCTCTGGAACATCCTAGCAGCCTCTCTGGGGTCCATCCTACAAATAGGGAAGCTGAGGCCTACAGCAGTCAAGAGTTGGTTCAGTCCCTGGGGAGTGGGCACAGTAGGTTTAGTGGGCTGACGGCCCCCACCTGCCTGCCCAGGTCTAAGCAGTTGGCCCTCTACCTGCCAGGCTGTGACAATGTGGTGCTTATCTGGAATGTGGGCACTGCAGAGGAGCTGTACCGCCTCGATACCCAGCACCCCGACCTCATCTACAATGTCAGCTGGAACCGCAATGGGAGCCTCTTCTGCACAGCATGCAAGGACAAGCGCATGCGCATCATCGACCCCCGCCGAGGCACCCTGGTGGCAGTATGTGGCCCCAGAGGGTGAAGATGGCAGTGGACAGGCCCAGGGGCTTGATTGCGGTGCTGTACTGACCACCTGTCCCTTCCCAGGAGCGGGAGAAAGCCCATGAGGGTGCTCGGCCCATGCGGGCCATTTTCTTGGCGGACGGCAAGGTGTTCACCACAGGCTTCAGCCGCATGAGCGAGCGACAGCTGGCACTGTGGGACCCAG